AACAACTGCGTGATAAATTTGTCAAAACAACCATTAACAAATACGGAAGAGCACCTACTCCAAAAAGGATTAAACTACAATACAAGCGACGCCTCAAAGCTGGAATTCTTCGCAGCACTGGAGTCATCACTCAAAACTTCGGGAATCAGTGAAGAAACACAACAAGAAATAAGGCAAACTATAGTACCGCTAACTCAACGTGCGAAGGAAAACAACCAACTGACTCCACAAGAACAAAAGGCCTTAAAAGAACTCAAAAATAGAAAGGATATTGTCATAATACCAGCGGACAAGGGACGCACCACAGTAATCATGGACAAAGAAGAATACGTCAAGAAAGCCGAAGAACTACTAGAAGATAAAAGCACATACAAACTGATGGATACAAATCCCGTCAAAAAATTAGACAACCAAATCTCAAAGACCTTAAACAAGCTAGTCAAAGCAGGAGAAATAACAAAACAAGAACAATGGAGAATGAAATCCAACGGACCAGTACTTCCTCGATTCTACGGTAGACCCAAAATACACAAACCAAACATCCCACTACGTCCAATTGTAGCACTCCCCGGAACACCAACGTACAATTTGTCAAAATAAATTTCAAGAATACTGAGACATTTAGTAGATTCAGCCAACCACTCAATCAAATCCCCTACACAATCCCTGGACCAAATTAAGGACATCCAAATCAACAACGACGAACTGATGATATCCTTCGACGTGACAGCACTATTCACCTCAATTGAACCAAAATTAGCAAAAGAAACTATATCCCTGCTGCTCAACAACGACACAAACCTCACTAAATACACGAAGCTTCAAATTCAAAGTCTACAGGAACTCATCAATTTATGCCTAACAACATACTTTCAATTCAACAACAAAATCTACGAACAAACGAAAGGGACACCAATGGGATCACCAATATCAGGATTGATCGCAGAGGCAGTGATGCAAAGACTAGAAGCCGCTAATATTACCAGTGATCAAACCAAAAATTTGGATTCGCTACGTAGACGACACCTTCGTCATCGTCAAAAAGAATGAACTAGAAAACACTTACAACCTGATCAACAACGTCTTCGATGACATCAAGTTCACCATGGAACAGGAGTCAAACAACCAACTAGCATTCTTGGATATATTGATCACTAGAACCGACACAGGAAAACTGGAAACTCAAGTGTATAGGAAACCGACCCATACGGATCAAATTCTCAACTACAATAGCAACAACCCCAGAGCTCACAAAATCAACTGCGTACACAATTTGTTCAAGAGGGCGAGGACACACTGCAGCACACTGGCAGCACGAAGAAATGAAGAGAAATACCTAAAGGATGTATTTCAGAAGAACGGCTACCCCATCAACTTCATCAAAAAATACCAACCGCACGCAGCATTAGAACTCAAGTCAAGCACAAAAATCAACAAAAGGATCACCCTACCATATATACAAGGAATATCAGAAACCGCGACGAGACTGCTGAAAACCTTCGGAATAGGTGTGGCACACAAACCGACAAAATCACTACAATCAATCTTATGCAAACCAAAAGATGAAATAACAAAGGAAAACAAACCAAACATCATCTACAAGATAAATTGTGCCAACTGCGACAAACACTACATCGGACAAAGTGGACGCCCCCTTCACCTTCGCCTACATGAACATCAATTAGCAGTCAAACGGCATGATATCTCTTCACTTATATCAATACACGTGGACAACTGCGGACACTCATTCGATTGGAAAAATGTGGAAATCTTAGACAGAGGAAACTCCAAAAACACCAGAGAATTTTTAGAAGCCTGGCACTCAGGTCAATCAGCAATCAACAAGCATATTGAAATCAATCCAATTTATCAACCAGTCAGAAAAATCATGCACAAACATAAGAACAAAAATCAAAACAATGGGAGACACAACCGAAACAAAGAAGTAAGCAACGACAAATTTGAGGTCAATAAGAACCAATCAACGTCGAGGTGCACAGAACAAGCTTTGAGACACATATGGAGAAATTCAAACACTTCACTTCTATCTGAAGTTTGTGCTGATGATGTCGTTCAGAAGAACGATGAAAGCTCCATGACCAAACCATCCAGCTCAGAGAACAAAACTCCACCAAAATCATCCACTTGAGCTACAAATCTTCTCCACGTTCTCCCAAATTCTAATGTTGTGAATTCTTCATGTCGCTTTTTTTCTCTTTCCAACTTTATTTCACTGGATTATACTTCTTGATTAACATCTTCAAAGCCTTATGTTTCCGATTACTGCTTATACTTTTACTACCTCTACTAGTATGGGATTTGAATCGACAACTGCATCTCTGTGCTAATGTGGTATGGCAACTCGAACTGATGTAAGTACGAAGTTCTACGTTGTTGCTGACTGACTGAGTGGCAGCTTATTCAGTGATTAACGTAATATTGAAATTAGTCGCACTGTCCTGAATACATTTTGAACACAGAGCTTCATCAACTTCATTATTGTTCATTATTTCCTGATACTAGGACAGTGAGAAAAGCTAAACAATGGTTGGGTAACAGTGGCATCGAGGGTTAAACGATAGTTGTATTGGATTCTCATTTGTTGGCATATCATGACTTCCTAAGTGCGGTCCTAAAGATCATCCCACTCAGTGATTTTAGATGTTATCAGACATAACTCAGAATTAAATTTAATGGCGATCTCACTGTTCTTCTTTATCGTGTTTTTTTCTAAATCTGTATTGATCACTTCCAACTGAAACGTAGTTGTTAGATATTCCAGGAAACCCACAAATACCAGCCGCCAAGTCCATGAGATTATCTAGGTCGTCAAATTATAGGAATCTCTAAAAATATTATGTTAATAATTTCACTGGCTTGGAGCTCATCACACCGTCCATCATTTAGTTTACGTCACCTTTATGTAATTCATTTTCCCTAACATTATTATAATCAATACAAAACCTTTTATTGCCAAGCATTATGCACTGTTTTAAATCCCCGGTGTAGAGCTTGTAGTATAAATTTAAGAATACTCGACTTTGACCTCCACACACAAAGCCATCTTACTGCACCCTTAGTTAAACATCGCACTGAGTTTGGCCTTTTCTTTACCCTATGATAAGTGCTTTAACTTTTCTATTATTTGCTAATTCCAATGTTTTCTGGCTACCTCCAATAGCACCTTTTATTTATATTCATTTGTTTCATTTAAAGTAATATGACCTGTATATTCTGATAGACTAATTATGAATGGGATATTTTGTTATAAAGGCTTTGTGTAAACCATAAACTGCAGTGATACTTATAGCGATAATTTGTAGTTATCGTCATATTACGTAACTTTGCCTTATCATTGTACTTATTATACCTTTGTTGTACCCTAACTAACTGAATTCCCCATTCCGAATTAGAATAATGTCAAACTGACTCAATACTCATACAGATAACTTCTAATAAACTTCTCTCATTTCAATTTTCAAACTAAAATGTTTATATTAACGTCGATTATTTTTGTTGTTTAACGATTTATGTACCTGTGTCATGTTCATTAATCGAAAGATCCGCCATTTAATAGTGTATATTGAGCTTAATTTTTATGTGTAGGTTTTATCCGCTATTCTGTTTATATGAATACTTTTGGGGGGTGGACTTGACATGAAATTTACGAACGTTTTCTCATACCCTAGTTCTCAGTCAGTAAAACTCAATGTAGAACCTTGCACGTATGTACATCGGTTCAAGTTGCCATAGTCCATTAGTACAGCGAGGTCAAATTGTTAAGGCAAATCTCAGTAGTTGAGGTGATAATAGTATCAGTGGTGATAGAAAAGATTAGGTATCGAAGATACGATTCAATAAAATAGAAATTATTGAAATAAAAAAGTCATGCGAAATTCAGAAACTCAGAATCCTAGGAAGATAAAGAACGGATGCACCTATGCTATTGCAAATGATCTCGAACCATGTCTTTGGAATTCTCTAACTACTGGTTACGAGAACCACACAGATCCCAACCAGGTAATGTACACTTCATGAACTGGTGTCATTTTTTATTTGACCCCCCTAGTTTTCTTCTAGCCAACCCCCATCGGGGTGGGCATCCGTCGAGCATTCTCTTATTCTACTTGTGTTGCCTCAAACAAGTCACCGTTATAAGAAAAAGATGTTGATCCATTCCAAAGGTATGTGATCCCTAAGATACTAGAAGTAGGTCCTGGGTTCGAATCCCGCGGGGTGCGGGATCGTGGGTGCGCACTGCTGAGGAGTCCCATACTAGGACGAAACGGCCGTCCAGTGCTTCCGGGTTTTCAATGGTGGTCTAGCTTCAACTGACTCATGACTTCAATCTGTAAAAGTTTCTTATTTGTAATTTGCCATATTTTCGGCCTGAATATACTCATAAAGAGATCTAGTTCACCTGTTATAGGCGATAGTGATAAATAGAAATGGATGGTTGTTTAGAAATGAGATTTATTGAGTTTTGAAAAAACCAGAATGATTTCAGTTAGAAACATAATTGCTTCGAGTACATATTTACTTTTCGTTAAATGGTGAAAAGCAGGCATACTTAAGATTTTTTCCCTAATAGCATCTTAGGTGCGCACTGTAGTACGATGCTTATAAACTGAGATAAAAATTGTAATCTAGTACTTCCTAGTTTTCACTGGTCCCCCAGCTAATATCTGTATATGATAAATAACCTCAAAAATATTCACCTAGTTGATATAAGCCTAAGTAAAAACTTTATCATTGTTAAAATCCAATTTGTCAATAATGAATTCTATGTATATATGTATTGTTATGTGTTTTATTCATTTAGTGGAAGTTTAGTAGAAAATAATTCCTAAATGCTTTTTTTTCTTGTCCTATTGTTTACCATTAATTTTACTAAGCTTTAGAGTCTTTTTAAAGTCATATGATAATGTAAATAGTCGATACGTTCTTAAAACACTGCCATTTGTCAATTATATATGTATTAATCACTTTATTTTGTTCAGGTGATTCTTTTGGCTCAAATATTATGGCTCGTTAAATTCACATTTGTCATTTTTATCACAATCGAATTATCTGTATGCACAAGATGGAGTTATTTAACAAATAGCAGTATATTTGTTCAAAGCTGGACTGATGTCTTTCAACCACCGAATCAATGTTGGGCCTCACTACCATTTTTTGCGTCACTTCTAGTTGTTGGTTCTGTGATAACAATTATAGTTCAAATCATATTTGTTAGTGTTCGATTAAGTAGATTTTGGGAAATTCGACGGTTTTGTACCTATATATTAAATATGCCATCTAGTGATGTTGGATTAGCTGATTTAACATGGTCCGAAGTACAACAACGTTTACTTCAATCACAGTGTGATTTTCAATTTTGTGCATACAAAGTTAATTTAGATGAATTAGATATATATAATCGTATACTTCGGCATAAAAATTATTTAATTGCAATGATTAATCAAGATATTATTCCTATCAGATTTCGTATACCTTCTAGTTTAAATCCTCAAATGGTTTATTTACCTGATGGTTATCTACTCAATTTGAAACTTATCTTGTTTTGGACACCATGGTCACCTTTTCATAATTATTGGCAGTTGAGAGCTGATTATAAATGGGTTACTAAACGTCATGAATTAGCTGTTGAACTAGCTACTCGTATACGTATTCTTGGATTGATCAATCTTCTTATGGCTCCTGTAATCTTCATTGCTCAATTAGTAACGTTTATATGCGCTCATGCAGAACGTTTTCGATATCAACCATCTACATTTTTTGGACGTCGTTGGTCTAATTATGCCCGCTTGTATTTACGACATTTCAATGAACTTCAACATGAATTTGAAACACGTTTGAAACAAGCATATATTCCAGCTTCTCGATATCTTGACAGTTTTGTATCACGACCACTTACAGTTTTAGCTGAGTCAGGAGCTTTTATTTTCGGTGGTGCTTCAGTAGCCTTTTTTATTGCTGGTCTTATACGTGAACAAATGATCCATTTGCCTGGATATTTAGCTATACTAGTTGGTGGTGGTTTATTGGCTAGATCATGTCTTTCGTTAATTCCAGATGAGAATATGGTTTATTGTCCGCGTAATTTATTAGTTTCAACCCTGATGCGTATCCATTACATGCCAGATCATTGGAAAGAACAAGCTGGCACACATCAAGTGAGGTCGGAATTTTCACAATTGTTTCAGTATCGTATGGTAGGTCTATTGGAAGAGTTATTTTCACCAATTATTACACCTTTAATTCTTATTTTTATTCTTCCTAATCATACTCTCGAAGTTGTTGATTTTCTTCGAAATTATACTGTTGAAGTTCCTGGTGTTGGAGATGTATGCAGCTTTGCACAGCTGGATATACGCCGTCATGGTGATCCTATGTGGCAACCAAATACAGAAAGTAGCGGTGACGATCAAAGTGAAACAGATAATGATGATCATACAAATGCAATTCACTCTTGTTCGAGGAAAACTATCAGGTCTAGTAAACGGGCAGAAGAGATAACTCCAGCATATAACTCTAATGAACAGAATGAAAATACTGTACAAACTAATCATGGTGATTCAATTCAACACAGTGCTGCTGGTGGTAAAATTGAACTTAGTCTTATGCATTTCCATCTTACTAACCCATCTTGGCGACTTCCACCTGATGGTTTGGCTTATCTGAAATCAATCAGAAATCAAGCATTATTGGACCTACAACAACAACAGCAGCATTTAGAGCAATTCCAAGATAGTTGCAAAAATAATACTCAAACTTCGAAAATTACTTCACAACCAACCTCGGGAATGTTCTCGACTCTGTATGGAACACAAGAAAGTGCAATGACTAGTATATATCGAAGTACACACCCTCACCTTCCCAATGCACCATGTATTGAAAGTTCAGGTGTCCTGAAAAATGTTTCTCATTTACCAGGTTCTGGACTACTATCTGAAAATACCTATGGTATTGTAGGAGCTATGGCTGAATCTATGAGAAGTTCAGGATCTCAGTCAATGTATCGTTCCGGTTCCAATCTCCGTGAACCTCAAGTACCAGAACCTAATGTAAGAAGGGTTTCTCATAGTGATAGTGGTACTAATACATTACCATCATGTACCAATTACAACGTTGCAAAGATTTCTCCAGAAACTAATATTGTGCCACAGAAACCTAATTCAGAAATGATTAGATCTCAGCTTGGTCCAGCCGTATTTAATTATTCTATGCTTGATGGACCTACACCTATAACCATGAGCCTGATGGCAGCATCAGCACTGCATTCTGCTGATAACATGGGTCTTCCTTTTTACCAACCTTATAATTCGCAGATCGAGGATGGTTTAAGCCAGCATACCGGTTTTAATAACAGCCTCATTGGAAGTGTAGGAGGCCGCCGCTGCACAGTAACTGACGTACTAACAGCAGACATGTCAGTAAGTGCTCTTTATATTCACGAGCTTTTCCATAGAAGACGACAACAACGACAGAACCACGATTCGAGTCGGGGCTATAGTTCACAGCGTGGTATGACAGGTAGTACTCCTGGTGCCGATCCCGGAAATAATAAAACTTTTCCCTCTACACAGTCATCAAACCCACTAGGTGTAGGTGTTTACTCTACATCTGGATACTTACCTAGTTATCAGTTGCCACATGTTTCATTTGCTCCGACTACATTTACTAGTAACTCAGCCACTCTACCAGAATCAAGAAATACAGTTGAACGTGGTTCTCTTTATCCCACCTCACCATCTTGTGAGCCTGGCATAATTAGAACGCCTTCAGATGGACGCAGAATACCTTCAGCACATTTTACAGATGTCACAGAAGAAGATGATGAAAATGTTGGGACGCCTAGATCGTGTAGAGATACAAACGTTTCTGCCTATATAACAGGAAATGAGTCACATATAATTCGTTATCCAAGTGGTCAAATAACTACAGGGGGTGGTATCATTACTCTGTCAGGTAGTCCATCGGTACGACCTCAGCATGGTCTGTCATACCAAAATATACAACAAACAAGTGATCCAAGTTTGGGTTCAGTTCCTAATATTGATAGTGATCCAGTATGGCCTGATTTGCCTCCAACTAATTGTTAATCTTATTATTATACACACAAGTCGGTGTTTGGGTGTTCAACTGTGTAAAGTGGTAAATGGATATAGTTTTAACTTTATCTCACCTACCCAATCACTAATAGTAAGAATAACAATGAAGTGAATCACCGTTAATTTATTTCAAATAAGTTTTTAAACACTCAGTAGCACATGCATCCATTCATATTTCTTTACTTTCTATTTGCTTGATTACCCTAGCTAAGGTGTATTTCAACCTATCCAAACTACCAAATTAAAATTACATCCACATTAGATTGAACATATTTTTGCTAAATTCCTTAAACTTGCTTTATTAATTATGTTAACATCACTTCACTTCCTTTTTTGATGCAGCTATATATATGAGGTGGCTTTCGGTAACGCAATAATAGTTTAAATGTTGTTAATTGTTTTTATTTGTAATCCCTATGCAATTTGTTAAACTCTTGTAAATAGGTTTATATTTTACCAAAAACGGAAACTCCCATAGTGTTTTGTTTTCATATATTTTTGATTATTTAATGGTCCGTCATTTTTCCTAATCTAAATTAATAAATTACAACCCAGCACAACAAGTGTATTGGTTCATTTCGACATATTTTCAAAAAAAAAAAAACTGCAAAATTAATTATGAGAAACTGATCTGTTAGTTTTATGATTTACAGCTAGATAAATAGTGAATCCCTATAATGATGTCAGTCTCAAATCACCCGCTTCTATCGTCGTACGAATCTCTATGAGTACTTTTTTCAGTTTATAATGTTAAAGAAAATATGCAACCACGTTATGAGTTGTATAACGGCTAAGTCAAACTTTTGGATTTTCTCATAGTTTACAACTGTTGAAACAAGCACTAGGCTTCTACGCAAGAGGTATGCTTATGTGTAACATATTTTAAATATCTCATTTCATTTAATGACCTACTAAATTACATAAAAACTACTTTTCACTGAATTATCTTGACTCAGATATTATCAATTGGAAAGCCTCGTTAATTATAAGTATAACTAGTTTTTCTGTCGCAATGAATCTCTGCATTAATACGAAAAATGCATGTTATTTTCATTTGTTTTCACGTAGCCATCTCGCTCAGCTAAAATTAACATGTTAATAACATAAATGGTAAACTCAGTTGACAATTTTCTTCTTAGTATGTGCTTGTTCATGTTTTATTCGCTACCAGAAGTAATATCCATTAAGTTTCTAAAAATATATTCTAAAGGATTGCCTCATTATTGAGAAACTGTTTTACAAGTACTACTGGCCTTAGTTTTTCGATGTAAAATCACCATATTTCCCTATATTTTAGGGAGATATACCTGCACTCTGAATTATTGTCCAGTTATGTAGCCAAGCTATTCAAAGAAATTTAAATATTTCTCCCGTAAACCATCAGGGTACAGTGAATAAGACAATATATAGGCTTAGCACTTCGAGCTATTATGCATGTGTTAGTACACTTCGCAACATTAAAAAAGCAATGACTCAGCAACTGTAACACACTTCACGACCACTTGAGTTATAGAAAGCTCTGAACATCAAGCGATCTACTCTTATTGTACAAAAACTGTATGTCGTCTCGAAATGAGTAGTTCCACTACACGCGAAGGTATTTTAAATACATGTGTGCTCAAGTGTTTGTGTTTTTCATCCATCCTCAACAAGCATGTTTTAAACAATCCGATTTTAATGTTGAAAATGAATAATTACGAAAAAACTGGATCATGTCATCTCAAAATAAATGTTCAACCAGTAAGTTAGAATGATAAAACCACGTCTCGCAAGTATAGGATGTATGTCGGATTATTTCTCACGACGCGCCAACCCCTATGTTGTCTTAACTTTTTTGTATAACAGATAATTATTCTAACTAAAAGATCTAAATCCTCGAAACTGAAAGCAAACATACCCGCCTCTGACAGGATTATCTAAACGAATTATAACAATGAACTTATTTGTTGCTACTACTCATTGTCGTTGGCTCAGATTTTAGCATTATATTGATGTGTGATGGTGAAGGTAACATATGATTGGTCGTTGAACGTGGACAAACAGCTATAACCTACGGACTATTAAATATGTGATTTTTCTTCTGATCGTTGGTTTCTATTCTGGACTCACTGTATGTGACTGATTGTAATTGTATTGAATACAGTATTCTCTGGTGTTAATCTGGTTCTCTGTTTAGGTCGCGAGTCCTGGTTCTGATATAACGTGATTAGTCTTATTAACGTATTGTCGTAATATACGTACGAAAAAAGAATATTGTAAACCATCCCTTATATCATATGTTCGAGTGAATACTTAGGAATCACATGTTTCATCGACACTCGAGTCAGACACTTATACGTAATCTCCCAGCTAAAAAAGTGGAATGCCATCTTGATGTGGAAAAATATGGTCCATGTAAAGGGCACGAAGCTGTGCTCACAGAACAACAATAATCTGACTAATAACATCTGAAACTTGCATAGTTTCCTCAAGCTTATATAAACTATTATATATCTGACGAGTGTGAATCCTAAGCATTTCGAAACCTACAGGCAGAGCCTAAGGCCCAGTAACTAACACAGAAATGGCGCTAAACCCTCCAACAAGACCAAAGTAATTCTATACTCTCATAACTACCAACCTAGCTTACTTAACCTTATTTCGAAACCAAGTGGTAGCTCTTTCTCCTGATTGTCACTAATAGTAATGTGATTTAAATGAGTTAAGACATTACTTGGTTTCGGTTGCTACTACTTCTTTGTGCTTAAAGTTGACGCTGTCTGAGAAGAAATGATTATCTAAGCGAACATCACGAGATGGTCTTTGTCGCCTCTCTTCCAGAATCAGAAAATACCATTAGGACTACCATTTACCGGGAGAAAGCACTATATTCATATCTAATTCATAGTATGACCTCATTCTTGAACCCCATCAAAACGTGATAACTCAACCCTACGACAGTTGCCTGTAAGTTCCCTATTCTTTAAGCGAACTTAGCTGTCTAGTAAGACCTTAAACTAGTGTCCTATAATCAGTATAACTTCACTGATTTACAGAAACAAATACGGTTATTCCCACCGACAAGATAAAGAGTTTCGGTTAGACAATTATAACCACATGTCATGAAAATTAGCTGAATGGAATTTTAGTCTAGAAACCAAAACTGGATCTGATTTTTCAAACAGACTCACAATTACCGACTAAAACAATATTATCCTTCAACAAATACGATCTTTTTTAGAACAATGCTCATTGTGTGAAAAACATTCGCCTGATTGTAGAGTGTCTTTTGCAATTAAATCAAAACTAATCGAAAATAATAATGGTTTATTATGCACGGTCATATAAATATCGACTGATAGAAAAAGTCCAACTAGCTAAGAAATCATGTTTGTTCCATAAGTGGAATTCATTATAAAAACTCAACCAATTGAATACATAGCTTCAAATTAGCAGATAAGAAATTGCAAATTCGTGATAGCAAACACTCATTGGGTTGTTGTAGTTAACTCTAACCTTTGTTGTAGCGCTTTCCAGGACTTTTCAACTTGATACTGCGAACATTCTGGGTCCCATTCTGTGCTTAGAATTACATGAGCATAGTCGATAGGACTTTTCTGAGAACAATACTGACCTGCTTCAAACCAAGTGTACCCACCAGTCACTTCAGCAACAGCAGAAGCTTGTCGTGCAAGACGTTCTGATGCTGCTTCCGGACTTAAATTGTTCCTCTCACACAGCCGGCGCTGAGCTTCTGTTTGGGATAAAACTGTTAACCATACCTGAAGATTGAAAAAATTTGAGGTTGAAATAGTTCAACACATTCTGAACGTCTTTGGTCAACTATGGGCCGTTCATCTGTCTATTAGTCAATAAACGTGGCGACCCCCTAGCAGACCGGACCGTGTCTTCGATTCTGTCGTATGTTTTCCAGCATCAACTACTGAGTAAGTTGACATTTGCACTACATTTAGTGCTGAGTACCTGTAGCAGCACTAACATTTAGACCACTAATATAACACCCATGTGTGTTTAATTAAACTGTAAATCTAGGGTAGAAGGACTGGTTAATTCTACTGTCATGCATTTTGGTTAGCCTCTTGCAAAAAACTATGATTCACATGATAAATCCTCGGAAAAGAGATCTTAGGGTCCCTATTATCTGATTACTACCATATTTCATGGTTCCGTATACGAATACTTTATTGCCACTGTTAAGACGATAATAACATACAATTTATTCAAGACACGAAAATATATCTACAATTAAACAACTCAAGGCTTCGGTTTCGATCCCCGACGGGGTCTTTGCTGCGCACCGTTGAGGAGTCAGTCCCATACTAGAATGAAACAGCTGTCCAGTCCTCCTTAGTCTTTAGTAGTTGTCTAAGGTGCAATGTTAATAAAAAAGTAACCAATATAATGAATAGAACGTACCTCGTGGCACATTTCATCCCACCTAGCCTGTAAAAGCACCGCTGCATCTATAATAATAACCGGACGTTTAGGATCCCGATCTTGTTCTAATGCTTTACATTCTATTTCTTTTACAACTGTTAGAATTTTTTTTAATATTTCAGGCCAAACTATGGAATTCAGATCTTTCAGTTGAGCAGGATCAGAAAAAACTAGCCTTCCTAGTAGGCCTCTGTCTATTGCATAGGGTGGCACTGGAGATGCTATTTTTTCTCGTCCAAAATGAGACAAAAGAGCTTGGTGGCAAGGAGTACCAGGACTGTAGATTCAAGCGACAAAAAAGCAATATCTATTTGAGGTATTTTTTAAAACAAAATATTTGGAAATAATATAAACAGTACCGATAACAAAAAAGTCACTACTAAATGAAACACTGATACTTCATATAGAAAAGTCAACTTCTTCAGGGGATTATTAAACCTATACAAAATAATACTGTTGGGAACTTCCAGGTAGACTGGCATTCTTATTTTAATTTTAAACGAGGTATGGTCACCATTCAGAATGGATAGCTGTTCACTGAATAAGAGATATCTACTGTCAGCCATTTTGTGAATGTTTCACAAACGACTGAATAACATCATCTGCAGGACTACATACACAACATCGGTAAATGATGCTCAGAGCGGAAGTCTGCTAGATGACATGCCTAAAATACGACCCAGTCAGCGAACCTGGTGTTTTAAGACGAATACATTTAATCACAATCTTAACATTAACCAACTACAACGTTGAATCTCGCCATCTGAGCAATTCCGTCAAATCAACTACGATAAAAAACTAAGTCATCAGCGCCCAGAGGGGGTATGTTTCACAAACAGGGTGAAGCTGCACGTGTTGCATACCTGATCTTTTTCAGATAGAAAAACGTCGTGACGGTACAAAAGGTGACACGAAATGGGAAAAGTTTTGCTTTCACTACATTCGACTTGATCTTGTCCATCAAATTAGCCTAAGCAATAAAACAGCTACCTAGATGCAAGAACTCAACTTATTCTGACGATACACTACTAAATTTAAGTGTATTATACACTTTATACCTAGTTTCTGCTGAGATACTCTGTTAAGATAAAATTAACGGTAAGGGAAAAACTGATCTAAAAATCACAAACCTAAACATTAAAATGTTTTAATTTAGGAACCTTTTAAGTCTGACTATCACCAGTTTCAATTCACGAAAAATTAGTACACTGAAACTAGAGAATATTACCTGTTATGAAACACTATCAACCAACCTAATTAAAAAATATAGAGAGAGTAGTTTTTTCAGTATTGTACAAGAAATTCTTTAAATCATTCAAAATTAATGTCATTTACAAGCACTTACATATATGCTTCATGACCGAGACGATCACAATCGATTACATGAACTTGGTCACTTAAATGTTCGAGTCGTCTAGCCAATGATGATTTACCAGAACCAGACGGTCCTGTTAAACCAATCAAATATGGACTACATGAATTGTTTACAGTTATATTATTAACAGGTTTTAACAGACTGCCTAGTTCATTGAAACGAAGTTTTGAAGAACATAACTTTAAATCCGACAAGTCAAAAGGATAGGCTTTATATTCGTTGGAGATCCTGTTGAAAAGTAGGAAGTAATAGTATAAAGATATACCAGTTTAATAACAAGTGTAACACAGACATATTTATTGATAATCAAGATATGTCTATATAACATAAGCTATAGATTCACAAATCACAAGAACTGACTGTTAGAATCCAAGAGTAAGCAAAGGAAGCTCAAAAATATTATTTGATTTATTACAGCTTAATCTTTAGACTACTGAACCCCAAATTTGCTGAGTAATTTCACCAGAATGATAGATACATTACAAATATGCGATAACAAAATGGGAAATTTGCACTGCAACGATTTGATGCTATGTAGAAGTCTAACAGTTAGGCCCTTAATCATTGATTAATGAGAAACTTACAAAATGAACTTTGTCCAGAAATCTATATCTAGTCGTTTTCTTGTATTACATAAAAATGATTGATTCAACTGGATAGCTGTCTTGTCTTTGGATATCAGTTTAATTGGTAGCTTACGTTAATAATTCACTTTTGTCACTGTAAACATCATTCGGTCAATTCGTATCACTGTAGATTATCTATTGATCAGAATTATTTTTGTTTTATTTTAATAATCGAAAATTAATCTATCAAACTATAGAATTTTACGCCATAACACTACTCTCGATTTAGATTTCCAGAGTAAAATATTCTGACAGCATCCAAAAAGAACGTACCAACTGAAATTGGATTGACATTGCTCTCCCTCCCCTCACTTAATCCTTCATCCAATACAACAATGTAGCACGGATGTAAAGTGTTTTTAATAATGCAAAATTAGACTTTTAGGAGCACTAACTACATAGAAATATTCTCAATAAAATTAAATTAAAATTCCGCATCAGACCAATAATTATTTGAGTAAAATCAAATCATATTGACAACCTTAAGTAAACTGACCAGATTTACGATAGCACTTCTTAGGTTTTGTGCGAAGTTCACGATACACGATACTAAATAAGAATTGTCTAAATCTAGTCCAAAAATTGTTTACGTTTTAAAAAAAATATCTTTTATGTGACCACATCGTTGAATGCGGCATGACAAGTGAGCAAACTTACAATAAAAACATGTTTCTGATGTAGGCTGTATATGAGCAAACTTGTGATTCAGGGCGGAGTCAATGATGTTTTTATGGATAAAAAATATTTCTCAGAATAGAGGTTTATGGAGATCACAGTAATCTAATGGTTGAATTGATGTATCGATTTAAGTCAGACCACCATGGGAAACCTGGACTGGTTGACATCAGACATTAACACCGTTGGATTCCGGCCCAGTGGTCTGGAGGTTAGGAGTTCGAGTGCGAGACCTAAGGCCTTGGGTCTGAGTCCCGCGTGCGGGATCATGGATGCATACTGCTGAGGAGTCCTATACTAGAACGAAACGGCCATCCAGTGCTTCCAGGTTTTCCATGGTGGTCTAGCCTAAATCGAATTATGAATTCAACCATTAAAAAATATTTCCCAACTCTAAACACCCACCCAAATCATAATCACAGCTCTAACCCTAACCCATTTTTGCTTACTATAATAACTCAACATGGGGTTTACAATTCACATCAAAAATACTTGTCCATCGTAATCTAGTTAATTTTTGTTTTATAGCTACAGTTTTTTTATTAGCTAATAGTAATTTCCTCAGGGTTGTCAGCACAATTTGGCTTCACCTTTTTTCCTATAGTCTCCCTTGATACTACAAAAGAAACAACAAAGAAGTTAGTCTAATTGAAATAAAGTTCCAGCTGAACTTTTGCGACCGATCAATAGAAAATCATAGACCTAAGTACCGTGTTTTTAGAGAATGTTCAGTGAAATATACTTACATTTCAAAACCCACCCTTTCTATTTTGATTGATAGAATCTGAGAAACCAGTACTCGCAACGGGAAACTGTTATTTGCACAAGTCAAGATGAGAGATAAACACGACAGATGAGAATTTGTTACATAAGAAAGCAACAAAAACTATATCTGAATCTACGCTGAGATTTTATAAGAGCAGGCTTCTATCATTTTACGATTTATGTCCTTATATAAATTTATAACCATGTGTCACATTTCATAAATGACTTGAATCAGAGACAGCCTTTCCATAAAAAGGCTTTCCACCATTCATTTTTGGATTATTGTTATTATTATTTACTTTTATTGATTTCCGACAGATCTTTTTTCTAACAATATTAAATCCATTTTTGTTCCCAGCATTTTAATGTGTAGGGTCAAAAAAGCATTGAAAAGTCTTCATCTAGTTTAAATCTTATCGAGACCACGAACAGATCTCAGCTAGACAACGACTAAAAACCTGTAAGTACTGGATAGGACTTCTCAACAGTATTCATTTACAACAGGAAATCGAACCTAAAACCTTCAATCTCGTGCGTAAACGCCTAATCTTTAGGCCAATCAGAGAAGATTTAATCGTGTACAAGTCCAAGTCAAATCAATTCAATTTAAATGTATTATTGAGATTTACTGTTGTACATATTCGAATAAGACGCTTTTCTGTAATTTCATAAGCATTGAAAAAAAGACACAGTTAAAACAGAAATCTAAACCAAGTATATTAAACAGCTAAAAACAAAAATACACTGAATTTAATAAATAGGTAAAAAAAAGTTTAGAGAGGGAAAAAGCATTTAAAATGTATGTTTAACTTACTTAGCTGAATATATAAAATTGATCACTTCAATTTTTAACGGCTTAAATCCATTCGCACGTCGTAATTCATTCAATTTTTCACAATTCTATTAGTAATGATATGAGGATTGAAAAACCCTCAGCATAATATCAGTGAGAAGCTTGTTATAAATAATTAATTACATATGTGTAAACTTTTGACTACCAGGTCAAAACTTTGTCTAGTTAGGTGATTTGTAAACGTTTAGTTCAAGGTTTCTTTCTGCAACGACTGACACCAGCTGGAAAGTTATTGGACATTAAGAGCTGAGTGGTTTTTTCATTATATCATTTGAGACTCCTTAACAATGAACAACCACAGCCCTCTTAACAAGACCAAACTCAAGACATTCAAGCCAGGTGGAGAGTAGATTATCTTTATGTTAGGGATGCAGAGGAATATACCAATCATTATCATGTTAAGTCTAATGATGCCCTTGAACTTTAAATGGATATTCCCTATTGGCCATTATTTATTTCACTCGTTAAATATTGTACAGATGTTGTTTTCTATTTTTATGGTACGATGTGGTCTGTTTGGTTGGTATATAAACAGAGTATGTTTGAAATATAACGATTCATATCTCAGAGGCTAAGACTTGCGTTCTGGACTCAACTGGCTGGGCTAAACAGGGAAGCGGGACCAATCAGAACTCTAGGTCGTTCACTACGTGTTTTACATGTCACTGACTCGATCGATAAATACGCTGCGCATCTAACCTGCAGTCCACACGTTACAACACTTTAGATCAGTGATCTAATGTTAATTGCTGAAGAAAGTTATTTTTCAAAAGAATTTCCAACATTTTACTCCCGATAACGGAACAGTTTAATTGTTCTGGAAGGATCAATTGCAATTGAATATGTACCGAATTACGTTATTCAATAAAAACAATAGATTCCATCTACTATAATTACTATTAATGTTACTTGTCAAACAAAATATAATCGAGTGTGTTTTAATGTTTTCACTAGCTGTCTTGCTGAACGTTAACGAAAAAACACTGACATAGTAATGAAAATATCAAGCTATTTTTAAGCAAATATAAGATCCATTTAATAAATATACGAACTGAGTTTCTGATGTTTATAGTAAAACTCGTTAAACAGTCGAAAATTCGTGAAATATTTGATGGCTGTATGTTAAGATAACACATTGAAAAAACATTGTATCATGTAGACTAGGAGTTTTAGTAAGAGCTGTGAAGACTGCATGAATGATGAAAAGCCAAGGCAAACGTTAACATCCTACATTGATACAAAAATAGAACATTTGAGGTCTCTTGTGCTTTCTGATCGCCTATTCATTGTCTGAAAGATTGCTGATGTACATAATTAGAGAAAATATATGTAAATGGTTCTGGAGAAAAGCGGAACGATGAGGTAACTGAGTCTGATTTTTGAGGGTTTCTAAAGATGGTTTAAACAAGGAGAAAATAGATTAGAATACTTTATCAGCACAAAAGATGGAGTATTCTGAAGGGGATTATATTTATGCACCTTAAATTTTGTAAAGTACTTATTGGATGGAGTAACAAATTTTAACAAATACGTTTTAAGTGGTGCCTGTTAAAGATAAAAAGCATATACGTGAACAATGTAAAATTAATTCCATTAAATGCTACTATTTTCCTTGCTAAATATGATTTTAAAATTAAATCATGGTAACAACCGACAAACATTACAAAAGCATTTTAGAGTAATTATATAATTTTTTTATCAAAAACAACTCACATCTAAAGAATCGGAGCTGGCTACAATACAGTCAAATTCTGCAGAATATCCAGGTGGACCAAATTTATCAGATAATTTAACAATTTTCATAATTTTGGACTGTACGCCTATATCACTGAGAAAAGTTTGAACAATTTTACTGCGCTTCTCCCAAGAAAATATCAATGGGCTAAGACATTTACTTGAAAGTAAATCAGAGCATGTTACACCAACAAGCAAATGTTCTTTAGCCAACAGAGCACCAACGGTAAGTAGAATTTTATGTCCATAATGTAACCGATCAAAAGTACCACCAAGACATACACGGGAGATATCCTCATGTGATTTATCTGATGACGCAACAGTTATCTGGTCATCAGTAATTGGTAGGTCTGATTCAGAATTATCTACACAGATGGAAAAAATGTTTTATTCACAAATATACATAACAAAAAATTAAAGAAGCATGCATAAACACCACAAGGGAGGTATGACAGGGTCTTATATCCTGGAAACACAAGGTAGTATATACTCATGACCTGATTACTAACAAGTATATTATAAAAGATCTTACTTTAAAGATTGGTGTATCAAGACAGTGACAGGAATTTCAGTTGGCCATACACATTTAGACAACTCAATTTGAGAAAATCACCAACTACATCCTGAAAGACAACTTCAAAGAAAACCATATGTTTGACATATCTTGAAGGGTTTTAATACTTAAGGCTTACTATGGACATCAGTTTTATTAAATGAAGCAGTATTCACTAGATGCGATGATTTGGTTGGTATGGTACACTAGTCGTAAAACCGACAAGTAAATGAATGAAAACCATATTGAGATGGTGGGACCGCAATTCAATGACTCTCACACTTTCCAAGTGAATCAAAGAAGTGAAACGTACTAGCCAACTCATAGTAAGCTTACAACATTAGCATGTTTATAGAATGAGAACTAAAAATCAGTGACAGAAAACAAAATGACAGTTTATTTTTGAATCACTACACGGCATTTTACTCGTAATATGTAAACTGTTATTGAAATCTGTGACAAATATATATACTAAAGACTCCCATTGTGAAAATTAGAACAACACATATAAGCGAACAATTGTTTTCAATTAGATCGTCATCAGGCTTTACTCTAATATACATGAATATTTATACGAAAATGTTAAACCAATCAAGACAATATGAGTCAATAATCACAATGAAATAGAATAGGTCACCACACGTAATAAGTAAAATTACAAGTTGATAGTAGGAAGAAAGGTGTACTGATAGTAGTGATAATAATAAAATACGATAACAAAAGTCTTATCAATAGTTAAACGTTGGAAATAGAAAGTCAAACGTGGGTAAATAGACTTGGAATAGTCAACACAAAACATGGCCAGTTATAACTTAACTAACGATATTTCTCTTAAAATCATTATTATTTATTTATTTTATTCTATTTTTGTTATCATTAGCCTTATTTTCACATCAAGTATTTATTTGTAATTTTCCGCCTCTTGCCGTTTGTATTCTTCACCATCTAATTATTTACACACTTCTTATTACGTAATGATTTCAATGTTTTGTGTTGACTATTCTAAGTCTATTTACCCACGTTTGACTTTCTATTTCCAACGTTTAACTATTGATAAGACTTTTGTTATCGTATTTTATTATTATCACTACTATCAGTACACCTTTCTTCCTACTATCAACTTGTAATTTTACTTATTACGTGTGGTAACCTATTCTATTTCATTGTGATTATTGACTCATATTGCCTTGATTGGTTTAACATTTTCGTATAAATATTCATGTATATTAGAGTAAAGCCTGATGACGATCTAATTGAAAACAATTGTTCGCTTATATGTGTTGTTCTAAATAGATATCACCAAGCTTGCATTACATTAAATGTGGTAGAATCCGCAACTTTTAAAGATCTGTGATACGGTTTTATGGACACTTTACTTTGAACCAGATTGCATTTAAGTCTACTTTGGCAAATTATATTTGATTACTTGATCAATAGTCAAATGGCGCCCATCATTTGAGATGGTATGTTACTTGGTATTTTGTTAGTAAGGTAACAAAACTCAACTAATTACAGTACGTGATACAGCATCATACACTCTCTCTACTATAAAATAACTAAAACCACCAGAAGTTTACTTGTAAAATACCTTTCAATTTAATAAAAAGATTAAAATGTCTTGCCTATGGTAGCATACATAACACGATCACCGTAAAGTGGATTGATATTGTGGGCTTCATTTAAAATCCAAACGGGACTAAATTCAAATTCCGGTGAAATTACAATATCAAACTTTACTGAAGGCTTGGTATACTTGGTGGTAGGAAGAAGAAGACAGACGTTTAGTGATGGGCAAACCTGTAGGTTAAATGAAATCATATTAGACATAAAACCAACCTTACATGCGGTTGTATAACACAACGTAGCCGTCTTTTTCCAAAACATAAAATCTGAAGGACTTCGTGGAATTGCTAAAAACAGCTTTTCATTCACCACATTGCTAACATATTTTAACAAAGAGAATAACTTCTGAGAGTGCACATGCGGTGACAAAATAAGTAAACCAGATCGGTACATATTTAAAGATAATGGATGGTCCTACAAAAAAAGACATACTGTAAGTCTTAGTTAATGAAGAACACAAGCCTTACACATTTATGCAAACAAAGTAAGGAAAGAGATGAATAACAGTTTCGCCGCATTCACATCACCGCTTCTATAGAGATCCATTAAATGAGATGCTACCAAACATCAGTAACTATCCTAACCTGGTTTTATACTCAAATAAAACCTAATATTAGTGATAAGTGAAAACTCGACTCACTAAAAAATAGAGTAAACATTAACGGCAGTGAGACAAAATTATGTTTAGACCAAATCAAACTTATTGGCTGATTTTAATCATAATCCTCAGCATGAGATAATCCAGAGAAATTTCGATTGAATAGAAAACAGTAGAAAAATGAATTACAGTACCAAATGGAATAAAATCCGTGAATACGTTATTTTTGCGTGATTAATCAAATTGTCTATATTGGCTATATGTTCCCAAATGTTAAAGTTTGAAGAAAAGAATTGGCGCTCACTAGCAGTTCTGAAACATTTTAACGCTAACTCAACCTTAACCTTAGTTATAATCTCAAATTTAACCTGTCAGCTATCGCTTAACGGACCTCCGTATCTAGTAGCAGTAGATCACGGATGCCTCCAGGTAGGAACCTAGGCACGTTAACGATGAGAAGTTGGTAAAACATAAGGATAATGTCCTTATTCCTTAAGAATATGTCAAGTTTTCTCTTAAAAGACTCCTGGGAAGTCGCTTGGACTAGCTCAGCCGGCAGCGAACCCCAACATTGAACTACTTTTAAGAGAGCTAGAAGTGTGTCTACAGTCTGCTCTGCTGTTATGTGCCTCCGTTTTTTGGATGTTACCTCTAAGGTTTGTTTTGAGACTAAGGTGAGGTAGGTGAATAAGGAGATGTCCAGAAGTGTTAAGGATGATGCGAACACTTTCAATGTCACTCTAGAGTCGCTTAAGGGTCGTTCATAAATTATAGCTCACAGAAATGACTATCATAATGACAATGGTTCTAAGAAATTAACCCCCGCACCACCGAAACGAAGAAAATAACTACTCACCCTACCAGCGTTCCACCTTGAGATTGAAGTTACCTCTCTTCTGTTCCAACGACCTTCAAATGATTCTCGACGAAATAGAAGCTCTCGCTCAACGGGCTTCCATATCTCGTAGCAGTTGGTCTTTGATGCCTCCTAGTAAGAACCTAGGTATAGTTAACGATAAAGTGGAAGGAAAACACTATTGAAGCATAGTGGGACGCTATCCCTAGTCCATAAAAATATATCAAGTTTCCTCTGATAGAGATTCTGAAAAGCCGCTTCAAAGAGCCCAACCAGAAGCGAATTCCAGCATTTGGCTACTCGTAAAGGGTGAAAAGTGTTCCCATATGTTGTGACTCCAATTCCTGGGTGTTACCCCTAAGTTTGGTGGCGGGATATATCCAGGAGTGTTAAGGATGCTATTACTCATCTTCAGTGAAAAGTAATAAATCTGACGAAACTTCCTGTGGAAGGCCATTTATATAAATCAAGAAAAGAAGGGGTCCTAGTTTTAAACCCTGACGGATCCCATTAGGACATTTTTAGCCCAAGTGAAATTTACCATGACTTTAAAAAGTCGATCAATTAGATATGAAGTAAGCCAATCAAGTAACGGTGGACGACACGGACTGGGAGAAAGGAACAAAAATGGTGTCAGATTTGCAAACCTATGTGCCTTCAATAAACTGGTCATAGGCGGCACCATATTCCCACACAAACGCATTCACAAAATCACATGGACTTCGCTGGATCACACCACGCAAAACCAAATCGACCATATCTGCATCAACAAAAAGTTCAGGAGGACTATAGAGGACGTGAGAACCAAGAGAGGAGCTGATGTAGCCTCATATCATCACTTGCTAGTCGCCAAGATGAAATTGAAACTCAAGATGCACTGGACATCGGGGCGGACAACACCACAAAAGTCCAATACAGCTTTTCTTCGGGATACTGAAAGGCCCAATAAATTCAAGATAGCCCTCAGCAATAAGTTCCAGGCCCTTCACGATCTACTGGATGGTAAGGTAGCTACTATGGAGAGCAACTGGAAGGGGATCAAGGAGGCAATCACTTCAACATGTCATGAAGTTCTGAGCCACAAGAAGCACCATCACAAGGAATGGATCACTGTTGATACACCGGGCGAGATTCAAGAAAGGAGGAACAAGAAAGCAGCAATCAATACCAGTCGAACAAGATCAGAGAAAGCCAAGGCACAAGCTGAATACAAAGAAGTAAACAAACAAGTGAAGAGGAGTATCAGAACCGACAAACGTAAATATGTGGAAGATTTAGCAACGACGGCGGAAAAGGCTGCAGGAGAAGGAAACATGAGACAATTGTATGACTCGACAAAGAAACTCTCTGGAAATCGCCGCAAACCAGAATGACCAGTGAAAAGCAAGGAAGGCAAAGTAATCACCAACATTGAAGAGCACGAAACAGATGGGTAGAACACTTCGAAGAACTCTTGAATCGACCATCAGCAGAGGCACTGGAAGTAGACGTAGTAGCAACTGCAAGGATACTCCTCATTCTCTTCAATAAGATTTGGGATGAGGAACAAGTACCAACAGACTGGAAATAAGGACTTCTGGTCAAAATACCAAAGAAAGGAGATCTCAGCAACTGTGATAACTACAGGGGCATCACTATTCTCTCAATACCGGGAAAAGTCTTCAATAGGGTATTGTTGAACAGGATGAAGGACTCCATAGACGCCCAACTTCGAAACCAACAGGCAGGATTCCGTAAGGATAGATCGTGTACAGACCAAATCGCAACTCTACGGATCATTGTGGAACAATCAATTGAATGGAATTCATCACTCTACATCAACTTCATTGACTACGAGAGAGCATTTGACCGCGTGGACAGGACAACACTATGGAAGCTTCTTCGACACTACGGCGTGCCTCAGAAGATAGTCAATATCATACAGAATTCATATAATGGATTAAGCTGCAAAATCGTTCGTGGAGGACAATTGGCAGACTCGTTCGAAATGAAGACCGGTGTTAGGCAAGGTTGCTTACTCTCACCCTTTCTCTTTCTCCTGGTGATCGACTGGATCATGAAGACGTCAACGTCTGAAGGGAAGCGCGGGATACAATGGACATCTAAGATGCAGTTGGATGTGCTAGACTTCGCAGATGATCTGGCCCTTCTATCCCAAACGCAACAACAGATGCAGGAGAAGACGAACAGTGTGGCAGCAGCCTCAGCAGCAGTAGGTCTCAATATGCACAAAGGGAAAAGCAGGATTCTCCGATACAACACAGAATGCACCAATCCAATCACAATTGACAGAGATTTGGAAGATGTAAAAACTTTTACATATTTGGGCAGCATCATTGAGGAACATGGTGAGTCTGATGCAGATGTAAGAGCGCGGATCAGTAAAGCAAGAGCAGTATATTCACAATTGAAGAACATCTGGAACTCAAAGCAACTGTCAACCAACACCAAGGTCAGGATTTTCAATACAAATGTCAAGACAGTTCTACTGTATGGGGCAGAAACCTGGGGAACTACGAAAGCCATCATCCAGAAAGTACAGGTGTTTATTAACAGTTGTCTACACAAAATACTTCAGATCCGTTGACCAGACACTATTAGCAACAACGTACTGTGGGAGAGAACAAACCAGATCCCAGCGGAGGAAGAAATCAGGAAGAAGCGCTGGAAGTGGATAGGACACACATTGAGGAAATCACCCAACTGCGTCACAAGACAAGCCCACATATGGAATCCTCAAGGCCAAAGGAGGAGAGGAAGACCAAAGAACACATTAAGCCGGGAAATGGAAATAGACATGGGAAAAATGAACAAGAATTGGATGGAACTAGAAAAGAAGGCCCAGGACAGAGTGGGTTGGAGAATGCTGGTCGGTGGCCTATGCTCCATTAGGAGTAACAGGCGTAAGTAAGTAAGTAGTCAAGTAACGGTGATGTGGCACCCAACAGTCCGAGTTTACTGATAAGACACACACGATTGACCCCATCAAAACCCTTTGAGAAATCACGTTATACGACATCAGTCTTCCTTTTGAGGCCAAAGATGGCTATGAATCTTTCCAACGGAATGAAAAACGGTCAAATCTCAAGCCAACGCCAAGAACGTATGTCATTTAAAATTGAAGGTGCTTAGGATGCTAGATCCCCAGAAATCACTTGGCAAACGCCTCAGTTTTGTAATTTTATTTCAGAAATCTGAATTTCTCGTTTTTGTGCACAAAGCACCCATTTTTATGGTCGGATTGTATTTCTTACTAGGAAGGACATTAAATGTCACCGGTTCGTTTCCTCTTTTAGTACGCTATTTTGTGACTTTTACCCAAAGACATTTTCGTATTGTATATATACGCATGAGTTGTGTGCTTATTCGTTCGTGCTTCCGATTGCTTGTGAGATATACTTTTCCCAGGTTTTCTCCCTCCATCTAGCAGGGCTAAGGCGCAGTGGAATATTTTAGCTTGTCCTATTGTAGCGTTGCCGACTTTCGTTTCGTTCTCCGGCATTAGGTTATGTCATAATCTGAAAGCGTGTTGTTGGCTTGAAAAGGAGTTCATGAACATTAAGTAGCCACATAGATTATCTCATATCTGGGCATCGAGAGGAGTGCTACGGGACGATAGCCTGAAGGTTCTGCGCGTCAACCTCCCTTGGGAATTGGTGTAATGTGAGTCAGCCTCCCATTTCTTATACTGCATTCTAGCCTAGCGAATGTGAGAACAACACGCTAAGTGGCTTTGGCGAGACTGAAACCGCTTCTCTCACTATAGCAGGATGAACCATCTCCAAGAGAGAAGACGTATCTTTGTTTCGATGCTGTAGTTTCTGATGCGCCATATCAGTTTTTCACATTCACTTCTGGGAGTCTTGTTGAGTTGCAAGTGGAATTCTTGTTGATGTAATTAGCATAGAACGGTTGAGTTTTTGAAGTTACTGTTCTACCAGATCGACGGCAAAACCATCGTTGCTGGTTGAGCCATTAGGCTCTAACAAATGCGAAACTCCGGTTTCGGCTTGTCGAAGAAAGTTTGCATGACAGAGTGAGCTTTTCGGATCGGAGATATATTTATCGATTATCTTTATTTGATACTGAAGCCCACCTTCTCTTATCGCCTCTGTGCATTGGTTCCTTACTTTTTTGAAATGCCTATATGCGCTTTTACGGCTAGTTCCTTTATATTCCGCCCAGTGCGATTCTTTGTGATTGTACGTTACTTGCAACTCTTGGGGACCGTTTGTCGGACAGACTCTCTTGTAGCACATAATATCGTATGCATTAAGAACGTTGAATGAGCGTTCAGAACAAGTTGAGGGTGGACAGCGAAGTTCACCCGCTGCAGACTGACCTGCAAAACTCACTCATCCATCCGTTTTAAATTCCAACACCAGTCTTCGGTAGGATTTGTTGGCTTGGTTTTGCCGACAAAATTGAAGGCTGTGACTACATAATCATTTATATCCGGGGAAGCCAAAATTGAGAGGTTATCAGTCATAAATTCTTCGTTTGTGAATATCCAATCTAAGTGTGATGGTGTCTGGCCATTTCTCAAGCGAACCACTAGCTTCACATTTTTAATTAATCCCAGATCTTCAAGAACCAAGCTTTAGTAGGGTATTACGTCCAAATTTTTTTCTGATCCGTTACTGAAGCATGGTCGATTGATCCCCTCGTAACTTACAACCCCAAAATAACAAAAGAACCGATTTCTAATTCATGTACCAAAGTTTATCTTCAAATTACAGTTGGACTGCGTTTCAGATTCCTGTGCTATTAGCTGACTGGTTGGACAATCTTGGGGGTAGATTGTACGGCCAATTTACTAGATGACTTTCTGACAAGACGTGACGTTACGTCCAAGTTTTTGCTCGTTCCCGTTATTGAAGTACGGCACATCGATCTATTCGCAATTTACGAACCCAAATTAAAAACAGAACCAAACTTCAATTTAGATACCAAAGTTTATTCGCAATTTACAAACAGTCGGCCCAAATGTCGTTCTAACAACAATAATTATAACAGTTAAAAAACAGACCCTCAATTTTGCAGGTTCCCGGAGAAAAAAGTCCCAAATACCAAACCAATGACAAAGAGAAACCAAAATGTCCGAAAATATTGATATAAACAACCAAGTTCAAAAGTTAAGTAAAACAAATACATCCAAAAACACAGTCAACTTATTATTATACAATGAAAAGATTTTAATCAGCCAAATGTCTACAGTTCTCCCGTAACACATGGTTAGGTTGGAATTGAACCGCATCATGTTCTGTACACTATTTAAAACTACCTTATTCTTTCTTTTGGTCTTCAGAGCAATGACAATATTAATGGTTGACATGTAGTGCACTGATCCCTAACCACACAATCCTCAAAACTGAACATGAGACAACTGTGGAAATAGGTATTCAATATTTAACGCGGAGAACAAAGCCTCGCTGGCGTGGTTGCTCTGTACAACTTACTTTTACTCCTATTAAGTATATTGTTTCATCTGCAGCTTGAATGTGTTCTCCATCATATATTGGTAATTGTTATTGTACGATGAGTCAGTGTAGACAATGATGTGACTTCCACGTCAGATCTTATAGATTAGGCAGTTACATCATGACAAATCTGCAATTTTAGGATCCGATCTTATATTAGAGCATTACTAATATCATAGTCGGCCATAATTCAACAAATAAGCGATCGTTGATATGAACAATTGTTTTATTCGGTTCACAACCATATTTTCTATGCTGGTAACTAGTACCGGGTCAACGAATCCTACAAGTCACTGCTTTAACTCACGATAAAAAGGCTGACAGGTAGATTGACTTTTGTTTATCTCAGTAGCAAGTGTTCTTTCAAGTGTTTAATAAAGTAATCAAATGTTCAAACATCCAAATGTTGAGACTTACGTGGTCAACTATTGGATCCATTTTTCATGTACTCGAATCGTGTTGATATGAAACTAAAGTTAGTGGTGAGGTACTCTCTTGTATTGTGATGCGCTAAGTAAAATGTTAATGTTCTTAAAACGTGGGAACGTCGGATCAAGCCTTTGAAATGGCCCTAAAATTAATCAGGACTTCTTCTTGCTTTGCAGATCGTGTAAGTGACAAAAACGAAAGTTGTTCGTAGGCTGGGAATGAGCTACTGCTCAAGTAGTAGTCACAGAATGTTTTCAAAAACATTTAAAATCCGCCGAAAAACTGTAACATGCACAATGAACACTGAATTTCAGTTTCTATGTACTGTTGCCGGTCAACAGAACAAGTAAATAGTCGTAAATCCGTAATGGTCATAAATATCTATATGTGCATACCATCTTAGTATCCAGCAGATAGCTTCTTAGATATAAAGATTTCTCTTTGTCTGTATCTTGCCTTCAAATTGAGAAAGCTACTGTCTATACAAGTGCATTGTCCTTGACTCAGTGGTTATAAGGTTTTGTAATTAAGACAAGCTGCAAAAGAACGGAGTGTTTACCTATCTTTTTGAAATCATTCTACACTGTCTACACTGCATGCTATTCAATAGCCCCCTCTTAAAGGTTTTGGGAATGCAGCCACACTACTGTTAGTAAATAAATTTTTGTTATGCCCCAATGAGTAAATAATTGTATTTGTGACTTAATGTAAGCCACTTCTTCAAAGTAAACAAATAACCAAACTAAATTAACACGATTAAATAGTGCAAAGAAACAATGCGGAATATTCTTAGTACAAGCAAAATCATAATAATTCTGAACATGTTAATGTCACGTTTTTCTTGGTTAGAGTCAACCTGTCATATAATTAGTTTATCAGAGTGTGGGTATGAGAAATGTATTCATTTGTAAAATGAAGTAATGGGGATGAACTTAGGAGCGTAAGCATGTGGATCATTTGAAAAATAAATAAGATCAAATGTGGTTGTTTGGATAAACAGTCCAGGTTGGATGAATATTCAGGATTTCTCTCCTATTGAGGGCAGAGAGATTTGACATTATGTGAAACTCTTCGGTTACTTGCCTCCATTTGCGGTTAAAAAAGACTTTCCGAATTATTTTGTTTTAATATCAATTTGGTGACCACCGAAAATAGAACGTGCTGCTACTGCTGATTTGACCCGTACTGTTAGGTCTTTCCATGTAACTAAACTATCCCTTGACATGATTCAAGGTTTCATGAGAAGACTATCCGGTACAGAACGCATCACAATCGACACAAACTAATCCGTATGCACCATTTTGTGCGGACCTGAAGTCTCTTCTTCCCCAACTACGGTGTCTCGATAAATTACCCGCTGATAATATGAAATTTCCTATAGGTACGACACGTACCTGTAAAAGTCAGACGTATCAAAAAAAGCAAGCAACACATGCCAACATGGGTAACGGAATGTCTGTAATGTCCTGATGGTACATACCCTGAAAATTAAGTCAAACTCTTAATGAGATGATTCATGAGCGAGAAGCATAACTAAGCTTTTCATATTTAAACGGTAGGTAGTCAATCGTCTTCAACTGACGCAAAACTTTGTTAGAGTGAAGCTCTATGAGATATCTAAAAACGTCAAATAATCTTGTAACGACGTTCAGCTGATAGTTTCTAGCGACTGCTATTGATATCGCCTTATCTATTTAGATGCCTGAATGTTCCATCTATAAAATTTCATCATCAGCACATGCGACGGATCCTTGGTCTCAAGACATCTGGCGATGCTATGATTATACTTTGTTGTTGGTGGAATCGCCCAACAGTAAGGCGTGTGTGTTATGCGAAATGGCCCACATTTATCTGTGGTTTAGCGAGTATCTTATAATACACTGCTTAAGATATGGTGTCATTGGTAATATAACATATAGGTAGCGACTAAAGCTGTGCAACAGGAATAAATTGGTTCATTTGCATCAGTCAACAAAATTATGATTTTAACAAGAGGTTTGATGTCTACTGTAGCGGTAAATAAATCCCCAAAATAAATCGCTCTGTAAGTTTTCGACATTGGATGCTGACCACATTCGTTTTGATGGACCCACTTGGCGGAAGGCGCTCGGTCATGTACCCGCACTAGATCACGAGTGGGAACGCTGTGATCAACATCCCCTGCAATATCTAGCCAGATTAGATCAGTCGATCCACGATATATTGATAGCCTATCAAATAATTCTTTGAACCTCCTCGCTTCTGTCTTTTGATTTCACTTGGTGTGTACGCTTCATATTAGATGTTAGTGGTTGAGACGTTGTCAAACTCAAATGCCTGTGGCATCCCCACCACTTACAAATGTTAGAATGCGTGTCAAATTACATTTACCTCCTTACGGAATGTCCGGCAAACATGGGATACATAAACTTATCTACTACAGCTATATGTAGGTAATTCTCGGCAGATATTTCTATCTCTGAGGTTCTTGACATGAGGTGCACCCGGAACTCTTTTAAAAGGTTTTTAACAAATAGGAAAAGCATAATTCTCATAAGTGTGAATAACATGTACTCACTATAACCATCTACAAAGTAAAGAGATTTGTATAGAGAATTATAAATACCAGTTTGTTGCCTCCAATCACTTGTCTGTTGTGGAAAGAAAACCTCAAGGACTCGGTGTTGGCAGTAAACAGTAAGGCTTTCAAACCATATATAATATTGTAAGTCTACGTTTCTTGGCTGTGAGTCAGTCCTTCGAGTGACCTTACGCGATGAAGAGCACATCATAAGGTCGTCTAAGATGATCTATAAACCCCAACAAGCAACTTAATGGTATCTGATCCACGGAGTAGGTGTTTGTCTAACAGTGAAAAAAATTTAATCTCATACCCCTACAGTCTTCCAAGTCGTATCAGGCAGTAAAGGGAGAAATTTCACAATGAAATGACTGTTATCGATGTTAAGAGCACGAAGTCCGAATTCGCTCAAAATAAGTGTATAGTGAACTATCTGCAATCCTTTCCAACTCCGTTTGCTGCGCTTAGCGTGCTACAGAAAAACGAAGTGTTGAGAGGACATTACAGATGGAATATTCGGACATCTGAAAGGAAAAGAAGACACCAGTAGCTGCCAACAGAAACTGTCTGCTGAATATTTCTACAAGGTTACTTGATGGTTTTAGAGCATTCCAATATGTACTTCCTCGATGCTAGTTTGACACATGCACCCTGTATTTATTTATTTCTGCAAAGTACTTAAACTTCACTTTGCCAAAAGTGTTTTCTGAATCGTGAAAATCGACTTTAAACTGAATTTTCTAAGCGTTTAACCATATCCCTTAATTAGAAACAATGTGTAGACTTCTGAAAGCTATTTGCATCTTTAGGTAGGTTTATCATAACCGTCATACATTTGTCTTTTCCGCTATATAATCAGTTTCAGTTTCAGTTTGGAAAGGACAGGAGGCTTGATGGCTTATGTTAGTCCTGGCAATGGTGATCTCTCAGTTGATCCAACTTTCTTTTGAAAGAGTCGGCAGATGGAGCCTCAACCACGTGCTGAGGTAGTGAATTCCACTCGTTGATGATTCGATGGGAAAGTCGATAGTCAGCTGACAAGTAATTTGTTCTCGGCTTATGAACTTTTTTGGAGTGTCCTCGTAAATTCTCTGTTTTGGAAGACAAGAAAAATGAGGGCATTTTAGGTGCAAATTTATCACTAAGCAATTTGTAGACTGTAATCAAGTTGCCTCTAGTTCTGCGATATGACAACGGGAAAAGGTTCAGCTTGGCCAGTCGAACTTCATACGGAAGCTTCGGTATTCCGGGAATCAACTTAGTCGCCGTTCTCTGAACCTTTCCCAGAAGCTCACTGTCTTTTTTTAAGCAGGGGCTAGCCGCTTGTATGCAGTACTCAAGTTTAGGACGAACGAACACTGTATACAAAGTCAAAAACGTTTTAGCGTCGACATGACTAAAAGCTCTACGTATTGACCATAAGGTTCTAAAACCTTTGGAGGCTATTGCACGGCAGTGTGCAGTAGTCTTTAAGTCTTGACTAACGATAACTCCTAAGTCATTATATGTCTGGACGACAGGTAGCTCAGTGTTATTCATCGTGTATGTATCTGTGCCTTGATGACCGATATGCATCACAACACACTTGGAAGTATTTCTCGGCAACTGCCATGTTTGAGACCATTCAGATAACTTCTTCAGGTCATTTTGAAGTCCTAAGCTATCACTCTTACATCGTATTGTTCTCCATATCTTGACATCGTCAGCATATAGCAAGACCGATGATGATAGGAGACAAGGAAGGTCATTTACATACAAGAGGAATAGCACTGGCCCCAAAACTGTACCCTGGAGCACTCCACTTAGCACAGTCTCCCAACTAGATAACTTTGAGTTCACCCTTACTCTTTGTTGACGCCCAACTAGGAAGTCTTTTATCCAGATCAATAAATTGCCTCCAATCCCGACTTTTCTTAACTTATATAACAGCCGGTTGTGCAGAACTTTGTCAAAAGCTTTACTGAAATCAATGAAGGCGACATCTACAGGTAGCTTTTGGTCCTTAAGAGGGCACCAGCTTTCACGAGCCACTAATAAGTTAGTGAGACAAGAATAACCTATTCTGAAGCCGTGCTGCTTCTCCGAGTGGATCCGGTTTTTATCGAGATACTTAAACAGCTCCTTTCGAATAATCTTTTCTAAGATTTTAACAACCACACTAGTTAGGCTAACGGGGAGGTAGTTCTCAGGTTTGTGTTTCGTACCTGTTTTGAACACAGGACTTACTATGGCGCTTTTCCAGTCTTTTGGTAAACGACCCTGCGTAACGGATAGGTTAAATCATGTACTTGAAGGGCTTGCAACGAAGTTAGATAATTCCTTCATTAGCCCAGGATGTAATTCATCGGGCCCCGTGGATTTACCTATGTCAAGCTTATTTAACAGACCAAAGGCATCGAGTTCTTTAATGGTCACGCTATACAGTGTATGCATGGGGGGATCTGTATACGCTGACGGGAAGGGCGCTTCTATGGTATATACGTTGCTAAAGTAGTTCGAGAACACTTGAGCCTTACCAAAGTCGTCCTCCACTAATGATGAAGCAGTACTGTCTCCCCATAGAGCAGAAATATTTCCTTTTCTCCGTGTCCTTTGGTTTATATAGGAATACAAGCGTTTAGGACATTCTATGGATTCCTTAACAAGTTTTCCTTCGTACAATTTTCTAGACTTACGGAGGGTCGAGGCACAAGTATTCCGAGCCTTTCCATACAGAGATTTTGACTCATCAGTCCCCAGTAACCTAAATCTATCCCACATTTTTCTTTTCTTACGGAGAACGATACGGACCTCCCTACCGAACCATGGTGGGGAGTTTTTCGGCCCCTTTGGTATAGTCTTGAAAATATGAAGATCTCACTGGACTCATTGAATATGTAGAATCCTTATATTATTAATATTTATAATAAACTATCCACTTGTAAACTATTTTCTGATTAGTTTACAACCTCATGAAATTCGTCGCGGTTATTATAACATTCGCCTCTAGGTTAGGCTATCGGCTACGTCTCCGCCTGTCTTCGGACGTTTACAGAAGACTTCTTCAAACATCATCAGTGGATTTACTCCCAAAGCAGTTCTGTCTGTCCATTTGGTTGGTGAGTGGTATATATTGAAGTGTAATTTTCATTTCCAACTGAATTCTGACTGAATATTAATGGTTTTAGTGCGGGCTTTTTGGTACTCATCAATATATTATACAAGATATTTGACACCTCATCAAACAAAAAGTAAACCTCTCAACAGCTCAGTTTTTGCTACTTTACTACTGTCAAACAGGCCATTACAAGTAAAAATTGTATACACATTATAGGTATGTAACCAATTACCTCTTCAAAACACCACTCATGCCTTGCGAAACCGAGTAACTAGTAATCCTGTTAGTTGGTTAGTTTAAAGCAAGGAGGACAAACTAACCGTTGCTAGCGTAGTTTATAATAAATCATCCTCATATATATATAATGCCGGTTGAAGAAGAATTAGGGGTGAAACTCTACTTTATGGACGACCTTTGAACGAATTTTTAAGTGACCTTGAGGACATTAGCCAATCAGAAGAGAGTTAGTATGAAGTGAAAATATATAATAAAAAAGTGATGAATTATAATGGATATTCTTCTTTTACATTATTTAAGAACTTGTTGAGGTTTGATATAGGTCCAGAAGTTTTGAAATCATAGTGCATGCGGTATAAGAACTCGTCCATATGACTCCATAATAATCGTCCTCTGGAGCCGTGGTAGGGTCTTAAAAAATACTTCAGCCTAGACCACATGCCCTCAATGTTGTTTGTATGGACCCCTCGTCGTTGGATCAAAGAAATGACGTTTGTGCACCACCACATGATGCACAAAACCAAGTCTCGAGAGGCATCTATACGCTTTCCAATCATCGGTATAGCCGCAGCTAATGTTACTGGAGACTTTATGATCCAATTTGCAACGATTATCATGGTTTGTCTTAGCCTTAGCCGTGACCGGGCAAAAAAAGTGCCAGTTCGAGCAGATTTTTTTCTACAACATATAGTACAACGAAATACAATGTCATCGCGACAGTCTGCACATCGTGCTGCGGTCATTTAATTGCCGCAGTCACAGACACAGGAACTTCTTAATAGTCCCATCTGCTGTAGTCTCTCAACGATCACCTATTCTCTAAAATCTGCTGTAAAACGATCGAATGTGATCATCTCGCCGTGACCTTGAAATTCCATAAACGCTTCTGATTGGCTCGTCCATAAATTAGAGTCCTACCGAATTAGGTTATGGGAAACTCGAGGGTGACTAGACCAAGGTTTAACACTTGTTCACAAAGTCATTGATCGTGTTGTTCAAGGAGATGAAGTTAGAGAACGTAGACTGAATAATAGGTTATGAGAGTATGTATATTTATTTCCATTGTTTTCAAAATCTCAAAAACTATGGCTTTGTTGGTCTGTCCCTTCTGTATTTATACCATTAATTACTTCAATATATGATAAATAAAGTCTCATTTTTGTGCCGTTTCAAAGTGCAGAATTTTTAGCCGACGCACCTTTGTGTTGCCCATAGTTCAGGTTTAAGACGTCCCATCAAGTGAGGTTCCTAACATCTAACTTTCTGATTGAACCACTTCGTTAGCATCTATTATGAAATATCAATAGTGCATTCAGTTTCCGAGGTAAACTTCAGGAAGTTTCCCATCTTTCCTCTTATAATCCAGTAGTTTCCAACCTAAGGATCATGCCCTAATATTTGATTGCACGTCCAAGTCCCTACTGTTATACGCATTTAGTTGTATGTACTTCATTATTCCCCATCAATAAACCAAGAGGTCCGCTATTTGCCTTATGAAGAGCACATGTCAGAAGTTCCAAACAAAATCCGAACAACCGTAAATGAGAACGATGGTAGTAAGACTATTTCATTTCCTCACATCGAATTAACGTTAATATCTGTTTTAAGAGGTGAACAGTGGCTAGCAGTAAAATCTAGGACGCGCGTTTCGTCCTATTTGGGACTAATTAGTTGGATATACCTGCATTCTAGAGTCGATGTTCACTCCCGAACTTGGACCCAGTAATTTTATCTCCTAACATCGCGTTGTCCACTTGGCTACTGAGTCCAGATAGCCATTGCACAAGCACATCCTGAGTTCCACTGATAGTCACCATCCGTTTTTGCTTAAAATGATTATGACTTACTAAAAATATCGAGGTAATCTGCACATAATACATACATACCAAAGAAAACTGATCCATTGTGATCCTAAACATCAGTGAGAAGACCCAAACAACCAGTATGTATGAATTAGGGAGTAAACACTTATGTTTTTATCCGTGTAGAAAATGATTTTAAGTCAATATCAGTTGCTTATCAAACTTAACATACTTGATTATATCTGGTGTTTCCACCGCATATATAATAGATGATAAGTGGTAATCCGTAATCATTCCATACATTTGTTTTGTTAATTTGTGTATTCTTTTCTTTAGCTTAAAACCGTACTATTATTATTTTGTCGCAGAGTTTTATAATCTGGTTCCCAATATGGTTCAAAAATGCAGTGGTTTAAACCGGTTGGTGCATACATTGGTAAGATGTCTTGAATTACACATAAACATCCTTAGTCTAAGTTACGATTGAATGATGTGAAATTATTTTTAATTGGATTAGGGTTCGTATTTTTATTAAATTGGATTGTTACTTCATCGTGGATACCGAAATTTAAATGTTTGTCAGATGGTAGCGTGCTTCAGAGCACAAAACAATATTCCATATTTTCTTTAAGTATGTTTCCCTAATTTTTCTTATAACTTATCTACCATAGCTGATGTTAGTTATGCTCAAAATCTTGCTAATAAGATTAATATATATTGTTATATCCTAACGGAACCACAGTCACATCTAACCAAAGCTTATCATGTTCAAACAACTTGGGCCCGAAGGTGTACCCGTTTTGGTTTTATTAGTTCAGAAGAGGAAAAATTAATGAAAATGCTTGGTAAGTCACAAAAGCGATCTTTTTTGATCGTTGTCTAGAAAATTTTATCAATCCATTTGTATGAAGGAAAGAAAATGTGTAATGTTCATAGGTATAAGAAGTTTATATTCCAAGTACTTGAATTCATGTGTAATAGCATTTCATTTTATACGGTGATCTACGTCAAACAGGAAATTTATATTAAAATGTAATCCGTCATTCAGAAGCGTAGAATTCACCTCCATGCATAGTCTGCTTATAAGTTATTCCAGTGACTAGAAAACCCAAGCAATTGGTTTTCTTATGATACCACTCCTCGAACCTTTGATATATAGGTCTAATCCACAAGACAGTGGAGGAGTTTTAGGAGTTACAGTTTCGTAGTGGCCAATGACCAAAATAGGTTCAACCACCCTTGGTCATACTAGGGCATTTAGAGGCATTACTCTTTAAGACGAGTATACCTACCTAGTTGTCATAACTTTGATCTGTGGTTTTATTAGTCACAAAAAACATTGTTCAGTATAATTGTTTCACACTATTGTTAGATTATTTTGTTTTCGAGAAGACGGCTGTTTGCGAAATTGAGAGGGCAAAAGGCGGATGTCCGGCACCTTAACCGGGTTGGTGGACACGGAGGGTCTACCTAGAGGAGTTGGAAAACCCTGGTTCCAAACCAGTGGTGCACATGAACTCCAGGATCGTGAGAGAACAAAAGGCGTGCGGACCTATTGTTGATCACCAGCTGTCATGGGACCGGATTTCTTAACGTTGCTCCATTGCCTTGTGGATTAGACCTTCAGGTCAAAGGCTCCGGGTGTTGACCCCCTAAGACAACCGCATGCTTCGGTCTAGGCACCTGGGCAGTATCACAGCCCTCACACAAATAATGGTAGCTGCTATTGGCTTCATTGTTACTGTGTGATGCATATGTATTTGGTGCTCCCTTGTACCAATGTTTATGTGTTTAAATAAACGAAAGTATCAAGCTCCCTATTTATTTACTTGTAGCTGTTGATAGGACTCAAAATTATGTTAAACATTCTTGGATTTCAATGCGTGAAACACTTCGTGCATTACATAAACAAACTTACAAAGCAGCATATTTTCTTAAAGCTGATGATACGACTTATGTGATCATGGAAAACTTAAGGAATGCTTTAGAATACACAGATCCTCGTAAACCATTTATTATGGGTCACATCTATAAGGTTAGTCACTTAAAAACTATTATTGTTACCTACTTTTCAGTATTTAAAGGGATTTTTATTGATCGTACTGTTGTTGTAAATTGTGTTCATGCAAGTCTTAAAAAGTTGTTACTTGAGATACTTCACAATGGTGATAACTATGAATCTCAAGCAGAAATACCTCGACACCTACTTGGGGGTCTGAAAGGGTCCGCGGTTACTGATAAGGACTTATGATTGCAATAAAGTAGTCTCACTGGGCCCTTGCTGGTTGAGCACTATGCAAAGCATGCAAAATAATACTGCAAAATCAGTCATTGATGTCCATGAGGCTTATTATAGACCTGCAGTTGTGTCAAAACTTTCACCCCCCCTGATTGAACTTTAGTTGTTCTTGGAGTGGGAAGCTACAACTCAGGACGTCTTACGTGTTGTGAGACTTCGTGTATTGTATTGAGCCATCTGCAACGCAAACTTCTCCCAGGTTGTATCGTAAAATTAAATTTAGATGAATGATATAAATTTCTAAGGAAGCGATACCGATAACTCGAAATCTGATCTGGCTAATTGAGCGATGAATTCATTAGGAAAGGCTAGTTGCTCTACTACAATAGATATTTTAATGATGATGATGATTTCACAAGAAGTAGCGACCCGTTCTTAAGCAGTTACATGTGAATCACCATACATTAATGGTTTGAGCAAGGGTATATATAGTGTTGATGAATTAATCAAAGGATTTTTCGTCTGGTATGCTTCATGATTAAGTGAGGTTATGGAATGTAATATGCACTTAAACAGATCTAATACAGTGGTCGGGTTAAGTCAACACTCAGCACCGACAACCTCTAGAACGAACCGGATGCGGCAGTCGTTATATATATATATATATATATATATATATATATATATATATATATATCAGCCTGATGCATTACAGTTATTGCACTTACACAAAACACATTTTCTGCAGAACTTTTCTCCGAAGGATAAACAGTATTTTTGATACAGTTTATTTCCATGACCCAATAGTACAGCTCTACTTTGAGAAAAAAGTGATTTTCTTGTGTATTGTTAGATTAAAATTCATTCACCATAGATCAATGTCCTAATGGTTTGAACATTAATCTTTCATCCATTTAGTTCGAATCCCACTTCATCCACTACAGCTTAATTGTCTGCGTAGTATCGTTAGCCTTCACGAAAGTGGTATAGCTTAAAGCCGAATAAACAAACTTGTATTTGACTACTTGCATTATTAATTGTTAGTCCATTAGTTTAAATAATTAGTTTGAAGACTTTGGTTTTGTAAGAGAATTCCCATCCTGGTTTTTTGTAGATAGAAACAATTATGGATACCTATCAATAATAAAACTACACATGTTTGTTCATACTCCTCCCAAACTACCAATCAGACTAAATAGCACTTAAGTATCACCTATGGATGCAACCCCGACACATTCCATTGTAGGTAATGTTTTGTCACACTTTAGCCTTTAAATAACTTTCTCGACCTAAGAGAAAGTTTAAAAAAAACTAGAATTCACCATTTTACTTTGCTTTACTAAAGATCTCTAAGAATTATTTTTGCTATCAATCTAGGTCTCATGAGGAATTCATCAAAACTGAGTCGAGATTCCTCATGATAAATGTGAATAACCGACACTCATTACCTTTTGATAATGTAGTTCCAGATTTCCCCAACCTTATCTGCATTCCTTTACTTGTACATATATAAAGCTTGTTGTAATTAATTGTTCAGAATTCGTCAGTTTCTTATTGTATACAAACGTAACCTATCATCTAAGTAAAGTACATTATACTTTTTCTACTTGTTGAAATATGTGTTGTTTGAAATTTATTCAGGATAATCATCATAATAATAATACTTTATAATGATCGTCGCCACACTTAAAAATATCACCTTTATAATGTTCTAATTTTGTATTTAGATGTTTGTGACGATTTCTTTATTGTTACAAATCTAAACAGTACTTTGTCTCATAATTAACTGTTAGTTCTAGTGTTTAAATGAGCTAAGTTCATCTTGTTAGTTGCTTGATTAAAGTCAATACATATACAGATATACTGTTTGTTTGTTTTTCGGTTCAGGTCTAAATTAAAGTGAAACACTTATTCTCTCTCTCTCTCTCTCTCTCTATATATATATATATATATATATATATATATATATATATATATATATATATATATAGTTTTTTACAATCGATTTCATTTATGTTCATTGTAATTATCCATATTGTACCATCTTTGATATTCAGTACTGAATCCGATAAGTCTGTTTGCTGTATGGACTACTTAAACTGAAACTTCGTTTCTGTCTGCATTTACAAGTAAATTATATTTTGAATAGTGGCTAGCAGTGGCACCCATATCGCGCATTCCGTTCTATCTAGGACTCGTTAGTCGAGTAAATACGCACCCTGGTGTTAGCGCTCACACTGAAACTTAGACCAAAACCCAACACTTTCTCATTCATTCTACTAAGAAATTATAGCTACAGACTAATTCAACGAATATAATATTTGTTGGTATTTGTAATGATCTTTGTTTTCCTGTCATTGGTATTCAGGGCTAGACTTAATCATTCTGTGCTGACATATGACTTCCTTGACCAAATGTCTTATAATTTCCTAGAGTTTTACTGTTTATCATACTTTTGGATACTGACTGGCAGTGGAATCCGGGACATCATATTTTAAACCATAGACAATTTCGTGGTATCTTCCTATGAAGTCTGTATGCCAATAGAGATCGATCCAGTTCAATCTGGAATAACACCAATCGGAAAATACAAACCTATAGCAAATAGTAATACTAGAAATTATTGTCTCCATTTTCATCCTTGTAGTTATTGGCGAATTAGTCATTTGGCAGTAATTTCTATTAAATACTACTTTTATTATGTAGCAGACCATTATAACACTTGCTAAATTAGACAGCTATATCATCTAAGTGTGGGACCCCGTAATCCCTCGCAAATCTCGGTTATAAGCACTGGGCTTCTTCAGGCTTTGCATTGCTGAGGTTCAACAGTGTCTTCGGGTTCGGTGATGATAATTTAGTTAATTCCACCGTCTGGAAGCGCCAATCCCTAGGGCCTGGTTTTGTTTTATAAGTGCCATCTTAGCAACTTCTACATCTTACATTATTTATGAACACTAGAACTGAATGGTAAAAGCAGAGAGACGATCAGTTTATGACATGTAACTACTATGAAAGATGGCTGTATGAGACTATCATTTGTTAGTCCATCACGGTTATCATTAGCCTTCACATTTCGAATGTGAATCATTCCCAAGTACCTGACGGATCAGTTATTTGAATTTTAAATACTGTTAATGATAATACGTGATACTATATAAAAGTATGTTTCAATGAAAGTTAACTCATTTAAATTATGATTACTAGTATTTCTGAATACTGAATTGTGCGTGTTCAGAGCGTTCTTAAGGTTCTTTAATTTTTCTCTTTCCAACTTTTAGTTGACTATTTTACTTTAAAATTTTATAGCTATGTTAAACTAACATTCGTTCAAGTTTTACAGTTTGATAGTAAACTCCGAAATTTTCGTTAATCTGTTAATTTCATGCTCATTTTTTGTTACGCTGTATGAGTGTAACCTTTCTTTCTTAACTTGAGTGTTTTCTTCGTCAATATTTAGTTTGGCAATAATAATACTAACAGTTCAGTTTGTAATGGTTTTCACTGTCCCGTTAATATTTTATTAAAACCATAAACCGATCATTGTTAGACCACAATTGAAATCCTAGAACCATTAGACGGTATTTTTCTCCTAGTGTGGGACTCAGAAGTGCACGTCGATGGTCTCACATGCGGAGATCGGACCCAGGACCTTAACCTGTGGACCACTGACCCAGGATTCAATGGTATGTGTGCACCCTATGCAAATCACCTCAATATATCGAAAATGAGATGACCTAAACCACCAAAAATCAGATTAAATCCTATACCCGTTGCAAGAGGGGCTATTTGGTTTTAATAGCTAAATTGATAGCTCTTCGGGCGTTTGAAGCGAAAGTCCGGAGTTTACATCAACTCTGGAGCACAGGTACATCCGTCTAACAGGTAGCAAATAGGATTAAACGCGCGTCCTTGATTCCATTGCTAGCCACAACTCATCTCTTCGATGATAATAATAATGCTAATTTTCTAAAAAAGCTTTTTTAATACTCCATTTATCTAATTATTTAAGATCCGTCCAAATGAATTCACTTTATCTGGTAGTTTTGGCTACGTCCTATCAAGATCTGCTCTCGAATTGATTGTTCTGAAAGGTTTAGACAAATTGGCTGACTGTGGACCAATTCAGCATGTTCGTGAAGATATTCAAATATGTAAGTAGGTTTTTTTAGTTATTTGGTTAAAATTAAATGCAATCCACTGGACTATCTAAGCTGGAAGGAATAGCAAACTCATACTCTCCGGTTACATGGAATCTAATTAACTAGATGCTCGAAACCATAGGTAACTACTGAGCTCTAGTATAATGCTAATCACAAAGTTTGTACATTTTGATTTATATCTTTAAATGATTTAAGGATGCTAAGTGAATTCATACAAAAGTAGCAAACACCATGAAATGAATAACCATCGATAGGCAACAAAATTCTCCCTGTGACACTGAACCATCGGAATATCGCCGCAACGACTCTTTACATGTGACGTTAAAGAATCATCATTCAACAAAAATATAACACTATATACATTAGAATAAAATAGATGAGCGATTTCCTCTGATTGCTCCTGTAACAGAATAAACCCAGCAGTAAGATTTTTTACCCAGATTGCCGGCATGTACAATGGTGCTGTCTCCTCATAACATAAGGGGGAAGGGTTAAGAAGTGTCAACCTTGAAAATACCTCGCCTCATCACATCCTACGGAATCCCGTCTCCAGAGGTGAGACTTTGAAAGTACGGAGCTAACAAATCGAAATCTGCTCGCAATAATACCGTGTTTAATTGGTCTCAAGCAGTAGTCTCTTGGGCTGTTCACTCACACTCCCAAGTGGCTAAGACTCCACTTCTAGTCCAATTTTCTTACCAGGTCCCTCAAAAACAAAGATTCTTTCACAGCGTGCGCAACTGGGAATCGACAGTCGCCCTCATATATCTAACATCACTCGAGACCACCTTGCTCACGGTAGCTGTTCCCCAACACAAGTCGCTCAAACCTAAGTGCTTGACGCTAGTCCGAACTTTAAAGATGACAAATCTCACGAATATCCCTTCTAACATTATTGGAAGACTTAAGTACTGAACAAGCTTTCTGATCTAAGTCTCTGCTTTGAGTAATTTTATCCAATCTGAGTAATGAAACAAAAGGTGAGAAATGCTTTGGTTGTAGTAGATAATTGCTTGAATTCGATATGTTCGGCCATATCTCCCAAATACTCTGCAGAAATAATCGGGTTTCAGTCTCTTAAGAGGGCGGGACCATCGAACCAATCTTTGAGATCAATATCCTTCCGCGCACTTAGTCAAACTTAATCTGTTGAATTTGTTCGAGCTTTATATAATATTCATGAGTACTGATAAATCACAGCTATTTGATTTACTAAAAAAATTACTATGCTTGCATACTGTGACTCCACCTAGCCAACGCATAAATCCAACTCACTCTTGACACATAGAGGTGCCTAAAGTTCTAAGCCATTGATCGCGACTGGGCTTTCCAAAGGCTATTTGGCTAGAATATATATATATAGTCCTCATTTTATCTCTTGTTTTTTTTAAACAAAATTTTAGCTAAATGTGCAAAAGCATTAGGCATAGAATTCAAAGATAGTATTGATATGTTTGGAATGTCACGATTCAGTAATGTTACTATAAACAATCTTTTTGGAACATTCAATAACAGTAATAATAATAGCGGAACAATTCAGTGGGATCCAATAAAAACAGATTATACACAAGCAGTGTATGATTTAAAGAAAGTAAGCATTAAAAAATTTGCATAAAATAGCCTCTTTTCTTTATCTGTGTATCTACACTTAAATCAAATATCGGTGTGGGGGTCATAAGATTGTTGAAGTTTATTGATTTAAGTTAGACAACCAACCTTGTCGGGTGAGAAGAAGGTACCCACCGAAAACAATGAAAGATGGTCGCGTAATATCGCGGATTGATTAAAATTAGACATATACATCATTAAGTCCCGTCTCAATGGTCTAGAGGTTAAGCGTTCACGCGTGAGATAAAGGTTCTGGGTTCTATGGCGAGTGGTAGGGTCATGGACGTACCCCTTTGAAGAGTTTCATACTGGGACAAAACGGCCGTCTCGGTGCTTCTAGGTTTTCAATGGTTGTCTAGCTAAGATTGATTAGTAATTTATACTATAATTGCAGTTTGTTTATGAAGAAAAAGTATATCACCTTAATTCTAAGTCACTCGGTTATTAAAATTGAGAAACTCCATCTGTGATGTTTTATTTAAGATAATAATCACGAGTTTCCATACAGTTGATAATATTCATTAGAATCGGAGTATAACAACTTTTTATTGTAAAGGCACTCAGTGAGTTTCTGATTCCTACTGTCCTCTCTATCTATTTAGATTAAAATACCCGGTGATGAGATCACCAGCACTCAAACCCGTGTATATTAACCCGTACTTTGTGGTTGAGTTTTATATATATATATAAGTAACTAAACATCTCTATGCCAGTTCATCTTCATTTTAACATAATCTCTATTTTTGAGTACTCACTTATGTGCTGTCAGAACCTTAACTTCATCTAAGTTTGAGTAAATACATCATTTTACCATGTTTTCACACATTGATTCTCTATTTAAAAGATATGACCTCAAATGCTTTAATCCACTTCTTTTTATTTCTTTCCCACTCATCATTACCATCCATTTAACTGAATTAAGTTACCTGCAAGTCCACTGCTAATCAGTTTCGGTGGTTTAATGCCAGTGAAAATGTACATTTTAGAATATTTAATCTATCATCTTCGACCAGTTGGAATAACGCATCGAATTTTACAACATCTACCTTATTCATCATCATCATCTGCAATGAATCGTTATCATCAACAAGACTATAGTACATAATAATGTATATTATTATTGTCGCAGTGATTTTTATTATTTGCATGATATGTATATGATACTTTCTTGTCTAAGTCATTTCAACTATTTGTTTGTTTAATCTTTTATTTTTTGTCATTGTGATCAACATATAAACATTTACATATCACAATTTTTTAGTAGATTCTATCTAGTTATTTGTATTCCATATTATATATTTATAAACAGATATATATATATATATATATGTAAACTTATTTCCGATCAGAGATTCTGTTGTATTTTTTATCAATTAAAACACTGATCAACAAAACAATGTAAAATGTGTAATGAATGATGCTTAGAATGTCAGTTTATAATTGAGATTTTACAATTTATTATTATTAATAATAACTTTTTCGTAAATCTTATGGTTATTTCACCTTTCTTTTATTCATTTATGCTCATTTGGTTTGTTTTTTTTAATTGATCATTTATTATTATTTATTTATTATTTATTAATAATAAAGATGTTTTACCAACTTCTCGTGTCTATATATAACTGTTATGATTGTGGGGTAAAAGGTTGCCAATAAAAAAAGACTTTAGAAATTACTCTCTGAAGATACACTACATACTTTGTGAATTTGTATTTTATTCAACATATTTGACTTGTAATCTTTATGTTGTCAACATTGTAAACTTCTATCTAACTCGATAATCGTTACAATATATTTTATTGAAATGATGAACCGAGCAATGGTAGATAATCACTAAAAACTATGAAACACTGAACGGCCGTTTCGTTCTAATATGGGACTCCTCAGTAGTGCTGGGACAGACACTCCCACGTGAGGATCGTCAAGATAGTCGCACAATATCGTGGATTGAATAAAGTTAAACATTAACATTGTTGGATGCCGACTCAGTAGTCTAGAGGTTAAGTGTTCTCATGCGAGACCGAAGGTCCTGGGTTAAATTTCCTCATTCGAGGTCGTGAATTCGCATTTCTGACGAGTCACATACTAGGAAAAAACGATCGTCTAGTCCTTCTGGGTTTTCAAACATGGTTTAACAATGATCGGCTAATGATTTCACTAGTTGGACAAGTACAGTAAATTAATCATAAACCTTGATGTGGAAGCTGTCAGGAAAAAATAAAAATGTAACTAAATTTAGTTATATTATTTAGGTAATGGAGTTTAGTTCACTGATGTCATAAGTTGTACACATGCATCAAATTGCTGATTAGCTTTTGTCAAGTGCTTCCCAGTTCAATGTATTCAGATTTCGTCTCATGTGGTGACCTCCACAGTTGACTCATATTGCCATTAACCATCACTGGAGGAGCTCGTTTGTAGACATGCTTATTCTTGAGCACATGCTTAGACTCGGATTATGCTCTAGTTTTAGCACGCATTTGGATGTAATACAGCCACAACTTAATGACGAAAATGTCAAGAATATGTTTCAGAAATAACTAGAGAACAAGTTAGTCAACTGTAAAAGTGATATTTCCCGAAATAGTTTGATATAATACGCAAAAAGCTGTGAACTATCCGAGTTTTCAAAGCGGTATAAGGATCTAAACAGATATTTGAGCGTCCCTATATTATTCGTAGTTGAAATTAGAGATTTAAAGTAAGGATTATGATTTTAGAGTTAGGGATTTGATCTCGAACTAACATCAGTTATAAGGTCAAAACGTCCTGAATCAACACAGATGGATGAATTTTTCCAGAGAATCCAATAGGTACATTCAAATTAAATTGTCCAAGAAATTTAGTACCACCAGGGTAAGATTTGTTTGAGAGTTAAGGGTTCAGAGTTAGGATTTATAGATAATATCGATTTTCCGCAATATACACTATAAAGAAAGAATTTAACACTTGGTGTATTCAACTGTAATATACCAGTTGAAGCACTGAAGTCAGGCATAGAAGTAACTGCAAAGATGTTCTACATACTATTTAGAAGAGTTTGGCAGGAAAAACAGGTACTGATAGACTGGAAAGAAGGATAACATCAACATACCAAAGAAAGGAGATCACAGTAAGTGTGAGAACTACAGAGGCTCAACATACACAAGGGAAACAGCAGGATCCTCAAACACAACGCGGAGATAAACCAACCCAATCACACATGATGGAGAAGTACATAAAGAGGTAGAAACTTCACGCACCTGCACAGCATCACCGATGAACTTTGAGGATCTGACGCATATGTGGACTCAGGGATTGCCAAAGCAAGGTCGGTATTCCTACAGTTGAAGAACATTTGAATCTCGAAACAGCTGTCAGCCAAGAGCAGATTCTCAATCTTCAATACGAACATCAAGACAGAACTATCACAAATATAATAAAATAGTACATATATTTACAAAAAATTGTCTACGCAAGATACTTAATGTCCGTCGGCGGGAAACCACCAGCAACAGACCATTGTGGGAGAGAAAAAAACAGATTTCATCTGAAGAAATTAGGAAAAGACGTTGAAAGTGGATAGGACATACACTACAGAAATCACCAAACTGTATCACAAAGGAAGCCGTAACTCTGAGTCCTGAAGGTAAAAGGGAAAGGCCAAAAAACACATTACATCGAGAAATAGAAGCAAATATGCAAAAGATGAATAACAACTGGAAAGGATTGCCCAGGACAGTGTTGAATGGAGAATGCTGGTGGGTGGCCTATGCTCCTCCACGAGCGTAACGGGCGTATGTGTGTGTTTAATCGTTCAATATAATTATAAGCAAGGCTGGATAGTGTCCAGAAGTGGAATCCAGGACACATGTTTCATCTTATTTGAGACTCGTCAGCTGGATGTATCTGAGTTCATGTTCACTCCGTGTCTCGAATTAGTACCGTTATCCAATAATATAATTGTTTTAAATTCCTAATAACGAATATTGCATTCAAATCGGCAAGAAATTTCCTGTATTTCAATACAATTAAGAAAGACATTTTACTATTTTCTGTTTTTCCTAATAATTTTCAGGGCTTTAGAAATAAAATTTCCCAATTAAATTTGAGCAAATCAACCTTGCTACTTATAAGTAGTTAAACATTATCAAAGTATCTTCCGATTATTCACTTAGCTACTGAAAGCTTAAAGTATTTGACATATATATTGTAGGGCCAGCGAAATGTCACTAAGCCCTAGCCAAATCATCCGGCAGTTGGGTCATTGAATATCGAGCAAATCATCAATCCTCGTCAAAGTCAGGGACAACCAACGCGCACCAGTTAATCGTATGCGATGGAGTGGCCCATGCGGCAGTGGTCTTACTTTCGCTTGTATCTACCTTAACTAATATATTTCTGTATTAACGTCCTCTGTGTTGTACAGTCTTCAAAGCATCTATGGTACCTTGATACGTCAATGGGGTAGTCCACGTAAAGCTCTGACCACGAGGTGTGACTCCGACGTTAGCTAGTTTGTCACACCATTCACGTCTAACTCGAGCAAGCCTCCAGTCATTTCGGCATAGATCATCTACGTTGGTGATCTACAATATAATCCGGTTGCAACAAATACGATAAAACGATAATAATGTGATGATCATAATAATATTATTAGTTAGAATAACGTAAAATGATAATAAGCACAAAACTAGTGTTGAGAAAGAAAAATATTTAGTATATATGTTGTGGAGATTGTTGAATCTCACTTTTTTTCATCACAGTGGAGTCCAACGATGTCGCATGTGAAGTATTTACCTTCCAATGGCACCTAAATGTGATTACATATCATCGAGAACCTCTCGTAGGCTACTGATCTCTTCTTTTCAAACGTAAAGGTTGTGGGGTTGGACTTCGGAAGGATTGCATACTACTATATGACAGATATCTAGTGCCTTTTGGTTTTCAGTGATTGCATAACTAAGATCAATTCGCGATTTAAACTATAAAAATTTCTTTCTTTTAAGAGATGTATAACTACTCTACAATAGAGAAATACAATTTTTAAAATTAATTTTACCTAACATATATCAACATTCAGTATATAACAATCATTACAATATAACAACTGAAAAGGCACAAGAATTTGAAGACAAAATATTGAGAAAATGCAAAACAGTATTTCTTAATAAAATTTATCTTTTCATAAAGTTAACTACAAAAGCATAGTGATCAAAACTCTGAGTCACATATTGTCCAACAGTGTAAATTTTACAACAAATTTGACTGTTTTACTATTATTTCAACCAATTAATTATGGGAATAAACTGTATCATATACCGACATGCCTAACAACAAATGGGAGTTATTTACTTCGTAAATCATGTGCCTAATACATATATTAAGATAGAAACAAATTGTCCGAACTAGTCGAAAACATTAACGGACGAAGATCAATTCTAACTAATTACAGTTCAAAAGATTTTACGCGCTATTCTTTAATATTTATAATTTAGACACATAAAGGATAGGAATTTTTTGTAATGTTGCATATTCTGAGCTGACAATTATATACTACAGCTACATATATTATACTGAACAAAGTGAATACTGTTTCTATTATCCGGTTATTATACTGAAAAGGAACTTCTAGCATGGTCAATAATTCTCTCATTCAACATTGCTTATGGATAACTCACATAATCGATCATTTCGGTGGATTCTAGTCTCTCAATTGAATGGGTAATTGATTAAAAACAACCTGTAATTAATTTGTTATCAACATAGTGCTTTTCTTTATGTAATTTTTTCTTCTGCAATAGTTGCTCATATTTTGCGAGCCTGTTTTATACTACTAATTATAAAGTAGTAGTCTGCGCTATCTTGATTATTTAATAAAAGTATTCATAGCTGATAGCCAGACTTGTTGCTACTCTTAAACCCAAAGCTGGCTTCTTCACCATCACACTAATCAACCTACCAATATACTTTTATCCACTCCATTAGTCAGTTTACTTGATGCAAAGAATTCTCTACATAAAGTGAGATAAAGTTATTGTAAATAAAATATGAAAGAAAAGTAATTTATTTACCATGCACAGATTCGAGTATTCATTTTTGAGCCACATTTTACGTGTGCGTATT